GGCCAACACTGAGATTTTCCTTTTCCTTGCCTTACTGGGATTCTCTCTCATTGATTTGTGATTCCCTCCTCGTTTAATTAAACAAACCCAGACAGTTTTCATGGTGGTTTAACACATGAGCAGTTATTTTATTGTATATTAATTTTAGGAACTGTTGGAGTGCCCAGCATTTAAAATTCACATTTTACTGCGAACTTTGGAATATTAACAGGGAAGGGTTCACTTGAGGGGAAGGAGGAGCCAAACTCTTGGTTGTCAGAGTTGCTGCTGGACAGTTTTTGGCAACTTAAAGAACTATTTTAAGTGACAGTTACAGGGTTAATGAGGTGATTTGTGGCTCGAGGCTGCCTTACCACTAAATCAAAATTATGTGATTCATTAGGTCCATGTGAAACTCTCTTTTTTTTTTTTTTTAAGGCTCTATTTGCTTTTCTTATCAACGTGAGGATTGTGAGTGGGGAGAGAAGGAAATAATTCCCCAGGGATTCCACCAGTAACTGCCTGGTCTTGAGGGTTTGTTTGACTTGGTGTTTGGTTTCACCCCGCAGAAGGAATCCAGACCAGGGGTTTGGGGGAGGCACAGCTTGGCCTGGGGTGTTTCTGTTCAGTGTAACATCCAAAATTCCCCTCCTGAGATCAGTCCCAACCCATTTCAAAACTCCAGGCATGAGGATCCCCCTCTGTGGGAGCTCGGGGTGAAAACCTCCCTGAGAAATTCCAGGGGGGGGAAGGAAACTTTGAACTGATTTAGAACAAGGGGATTTACCTTTAATGCAACCTCTGAAACTTCCAGTTAATCCTTTAAATGGAATTTAATTCCCAATTAAGCTCGAATAATACTTTTCTAATGTTAATCTGCTCTGGGTGTGCCGAGGGGAGGGGGTTTGGCGAGGGAAAAAGGTGAAATTCAGAAGAAAAAAGCTCGGGGTGGAAACTGCAAGGCAGCAAAAGAACCTTTATCACTGAAATCTGGCTTCCTGTAGTCATCAGATATCTGGGGTTCCATCAAACGGACACTCCACCCTTTCATTGTGAGGATGGGAATCCAATTTGAAAGCATTTTAAAAGAGACATTTGCAGTGGGTTTGGGTTGACTTGACAGCGCTGCCAAATTTTCCACCTGAGTTCTGGCCACGGGTTTTGTAAATTGGCCCAGAATTCCTTTTGTGAAGAACTTCTCCGAGTTGGAAGTGTTGAGAGTTTTTAATAAGTTCTCCCTTTGGTTCCCATCTGCGTGTTTTGGACGCTTAGAAAGGCTGGAGGAAAACTGGGTTTGGATTTAGGGACGTGTTCCTTTCTTGTGTTGGTTTTTTTTATTTTTTTTTTTAATTGTGTGACTTGAATCTCTCCCTACGAACACATCTGTGTGTCCAGCAAACCTGAACCCAAAGGGAAAAAAATCGAGGTGGTTATAGAAATGCTCACATAAAAGATTTTTAATGATTAAATTGGATTTTAAAGAAAGAAAAATAAGGATTTTGAGTAAGAGAAATGCTGGTGGAGGGAGAATTACAGATTCAGTTTGGATCTGTCGTTTGGGAAACATTTTTTCTGAACAAGAAAGCCAAGCAGAAATCAAGTGGTTTAACAAGCAAAAGCTGTTTCCTCACCAAAAGCTTCCTTGGGAAAGGACTGGAATATTTAGCAATATTTTCAGCTGTCAAGGAGCTGTTTTCTTGGCCACATAACCCAGAAATGGCAAAGCTGTAATGCAGAGTCACCGAGTTCTCATGGTTCAAGAAATTAATAAATCTGGAGAACACTTGAGTAATTCCTTATCACCCTCCAGTATCTAAATTCACAGGGAATCCAAGCTGCACTAATTGAATCCGACCCCAGGAGGGAACAGCGGAGTCGTCGGGAGGCTCCTTAACATTTGGAGAGGAACTGGAATTTTGCTGTTCGGAAAAGGCTTTTTTTTGGGTGGATTTTCTTTGAAAATCAACCCCCTCTTAAAACCTCCAGTTGTGCAGTGAGTGGATCCATCTCAGGGGGTGGTTGGAGAGGAGGATGAAGGGTCACTTTAGTCACAGCATCTTGTTTTCCCAGGGGTGGGAAACCCTGGAAAAGTTTGCCCAGGGAAGCTGTGGCCACCCCACCCCTGGGATTGCCCAAGGAGTAACCTCCTCTAGTGAAGGTGGTTGATCTTTAAGGTCCTTCCAACCCAAGCCCTTCTTGGGTGGTGTGATTTCCAGAACTGCTTTTCTCCCTCACATCAAAGCACCACCACGGCGAGATCTGGACTTTCTTTTTTCACTGAGAAAGGCAAACATGAACTGATTTGCCTCCAGGTTTCCTGTCAGAGTGACAGGAGGGGCTCTGTAACATTTAAAAATACCTTTTTATTTATTTATTTTTTTAATTTCTTTTTTCCCCCAGCTCAAAAGCTGCCCAGAAGTTGCTCAGGACACCTCACCCTTGATCTTCCCAGATTGCAGTTGATGGGCTCCAAGAAGTGGCCGAGGGATTGCCCAAGGAGCAACCTCCTCTAGTGAAGGTGGTTGATCTTTAAGGTCCTTCCAACCCAAGCCCTTCTTGGGTGGTGTGATTTCCAGAGCTGCTTTTCTCCCTCACATCAAAGCTCCACCATGGCGAGATCTGGACTTTCTTTTTTCACTGAGAAAGGCAAACACGAACTGATTTGCCTCGAGGTTTCCTGTCAGAGTGACAGGAGGGGCTGTGGAACATTGAAAAATGCCTTTTTTTTTCCTTTTTGTTTTTTTTTTTTCCCCCCAGAAGTTGCTCAGGACACCTCACCCTTGATCTTCCCAGATTGCAAGTGGCAGTTGTTGATGGGCTCCAATAAGCAGCTCCTGGAAGGCAGGAGAGGAGCAAACACAGCTCCCCTCGCCCCGGTGTCGTGATGGATGAGAGCAATAACAGCAATCAGCTCTCTGGGTTCTGGCACACAACCCCCCCAGTGTTTTTGGGAGGGAGAGCTGCTAAAATTGATGGCCCAGCAGAGCCATTTCACGGGCTCCTCTCGGTTCCCCAGCCCTTGTGTTCCCTCATTTCCACGTTAAAGTGCAGCCAGGAAGACAAATGGTCGTGACCTCCCCTGTCCTGGGGCTCTTTGAGGTGGGTACAGAGCGAGGGGAAGCCAAAATATTAAAAAAACATCAAGCCCCCTCCTCCTCCCCGGGTGCCTTTCGGAGCTGCTTGAAAGGAAACCAACACCTGTTGAAACAGTTACTTCAACGTTTGGCCCAAATCCCAAACAAGCCTTCTTTTTGTTATTTTTTGTTTTTTTTTTCCTTCTTTTAACAACAAAAACATATGTAGGGGCCAGGGAAAAAGCACAGCTAGTTCTGATATTGTGCTTTTTGTGCTCTGCAGCTCCGAGCTGGAGGGGCTGTGACTCATTAAGTGAGACCAGCACAGTGTTTCTCTTCCTTCCACGTCTCTCTGGGTTGGATTTGTGTGGCAAATCCACACTAAAATCCACTGAGGGGGGGGGGGCTTTTCCTGCTCCTGAGGTGGGATGTTCCTGAGCCATTTGGGGATACTTCACACTGGGAATGTTTCCTAAGACTTGGGGCTGAGGGGGAAAAGCAGCTCTGAAAAATCACACCAGCCAAGAAGGGGTTGGTTGGGTTGGAAGGACCTTAAGGATTTGCCCTCTTGGGAAGGAAAAAACCCATCAGCCACTTAGTGACTGGTGTCTTGCCTGAATAATTGAGGCTTTTGAGAGCTCCTGGTCAAAGGCTGGACATGATCTTGGGACTCTTTTCCAACCTGAATGATTCTGTGGTCCATGGAGAGGTTTCATCTCCACGAGTCGTCTCCTAAATTGGGGATCAGTTCAGTCCCTCAGTTGGAGCAGAGATCTGAACTGTCTGTGTAGCTGGAAATCGGTGTCTTCCAGGGAAAATTCTGGGAATAAAAGGGTGTTAGAGTTTTCTAGGGAGAGTTTTAACATCAGAGAAGTGTGTGCACTGTTGTCCTCAGGGTGAGCTGGGTTTCTCCTCCTCTACTCCAATATAATATTCCTCCCTGGGAGGGTGGGGAGGCCCTGGTTGCCCCATCCCTGGAAGTGTCCAAGGCCAGGTTGGAGCAGCCTGGGCTGGTGGAAGGTGTTCCCTGCCCAGGGCAGGGGGTTGGAACTCCACAACCTTTAAGATCCTTCCAAGCCAAACCCTTCTGGGATTCTGTGATCCGTGTGTTCACCCCGAAGTGTTGGGATGATGGAAGCAGGCTGGTCCCTTTGTGTCCATCCTGTCAGCACCCCTGAGCACCCTGAGCACCCCTTATGTGAGATCATCTCTGCTGCTTTCATTGGAATTTCTGGAGCTTTGGAAGAGGCATCACTGAGGTTCAGGTTGTGGCAAATTCTGCTTGACCACTGTCAAATTAAACAGACCTTTGGGGTGTTAAATCCCAGGTGTTGAGAGGCCACAGCACAGAACTGAGAGAGGATTTTGTTTCAATATTGGTGCTGCTGAACTAGAAAAAAATGGAGAAATAAAAGATCAATCAAGATTAATACAAAGTCATGGATTTCACTAAGGAGTTTTCAGCCTTTCTGAAGGAAGTGGCAATGAAAGTAGGTTGGTGTGTGAGTAGAAAAGAACCAGTTTTCTCTCTTGCACACTTTTTTTGCACACCAGAATTGTCTACAACCATGGGCAAATATCCTGGGGTGTTTTCAGTGGAGAGGTGACACTCAGGACTGGACACCTGTAACTTAGTGACACTTTGCAGACCAACACCTTCCTTTCCATGTTTCCCTGTCCAGTGAGGAATCCTCGGTGGTTTGTTTTTCCTTTGGGGTTTTCTCTGAAATCCTCTCTTGCCTTTTCCTTGCAGACCTCTCTCTGCCCTTTCTCCAGGGCTTTTCCTGGAGCAAGAAAGCAGAGCAGTGTGGAGGAGGTTTGCCATTCCCTGGGATCCACGCTGGGATCCGGGCTGGTTAGGGATGGTTTCCCTTCTCAGCCCTCGGGGTTGTGTCAGTTCAAACAGTTCCAACCAGATTTTTCCTCCTCCCTTTTTTTTCTTTTCAGCTACAGCTGCAGAAAACCCAATATTTGCAACTGGGACAGAGTCGTGGCCAGTACTACGGGGGGTCTCTGCCAAATGTGAATCAGATTGGAAACAGTGCCATGGATCTGCCCTTCCAGGTGAGTCCAGGGGGGGTTCCTTTGCTTTTGGGGATTCATTCCGTGCCTGGCTGCTGGGTCAGAACCCTCAGCACGACCCCCCCTGGTTCAAGAACTCGTGCTCCTTTGGCAAATTGGGATTGTGGGGATGTTTCTGTGTCAGGTTGGGATGCTTTTGGGGCAGGAATGCTCCGAGTGATGCGATTCCTTTCGTCAGGGAGTATTCAGGGGGTGTTTTTGTTCAGTACCAAATTCCTGATGAAATCTCTGTTAAATTCAAGCAAACTGGAAGGAAATTCAGGTGATGTGGAGCCTGCTGGGTGCTGGGGTGTGGAGGGAGCTGCTGGTGGGGTGTGTGTGTTCCCTGGGAGTGATCCTGGGAGAGGAGGAGAAGGGCAGTGGGACACAAAGTGGGAGCAGAACAGTCACTTTTTTTTTGGGCTGGCTGAGGAGGAAACTTTGAGGTGTCCTGGCTCTTTGTGACTCCAGAGTGACTCCACAAACAGAAAATCATTTAGGTGAATGTTTTTGGACAGGAGGTGTTGTACATGGATCAGGTGGTGGATCCTCTCAGCACTCTGATTTCTATAATTAGTTGATTCAGGGCGCTCAAAATAATTCACATTTCTGCGTCAGTTTTCCTTTTTTGAGCAGTAACAGTTACAGTTCAGCTCACAAGGATGTGGTAAGAAGGAAATCTTGCAGTTTGTGGTTTTCTGATGAAGGGCTGGTTAATAAATGTGGAGAAACTCGCTGACCTGCCTGTTGAAAGAGGTGGAGACAACTGAATTTGGGCAGGTTAAAAGCTTGAACCTTGTGCAGGAGGAGAAGCAAAAACCAATTTTAATCTGGTTGCCTTTTGGGAATGCAGTGGATTGAAGTCCTTGGGGTTACTCCACATCTCTCTCTCCAAGATTTTCCCTTCAGCTCCTTGTTAAGGAGGTTCAGAGTTCCTGTTCCTTTTAAGCAATAGGGTTTCAGTATTTCTGAAATAGTGTTTCAGTGCTTTTTCTGGTGGTTGCTGCATAGACCGTTTTACTCCTGAACTGACAAAGGGAATATCCCCAAATTTCCCAATGGCTGGAGGAGGACACACAGACAAAACTCCAGGGGTTTAGGGATTTTTTTTTCACACACACACACAGAAAAAATACAAAACTC